GGCAGTTTTATTCTGCCCTACAGGGTCGCTATGAATCAAAGTGGACTCGATGGCAGTGAATTTGTTTTGGTTTTCGGAAGTGCATCATTAGGCTCATGCTCCATGTTAGCTGACCTCAACTTTAAAATAGGTTGTTAAATTGTTGAAACTCATTTAAAACCTGATCGTTTTCCATCAAGAATCATGTGGAAAAGTAGTAATGCAAGTGTCAATCCACAAAGTGTAATGTACTAACAAACACTGGAACTGACCACCATTTGTAAAAATAATCTTTATATAAAAATTATATTCAGAACTCAAGCTTGGTCTTGAGTAATTTTGTAAAATAGCATTTATCCTTTTATGGCTCATTTTCAGTCTCGTAAATGTGGTCATTAGAAATATTTTAGCAAAGATTATATTCATTAAAATTAATTTTTATCAGCTAATATTTCTTCTCTTTTTTTTTGGTTTTGTTTTCCTTAGGGAAATATGCCCAGGTTACCAACAATCCTGAAAATGATGGATGCATAAATGCAGTCTTACTGGTTTGATAGCAGTTTCATACAAGTAACTCCTTACAATTATTGGCGAAGATTACCAACTAACCAGGAAAACCACCATTACCACTGTGTTTCTGACTACTAAGCGGCCTTCCATATCTACAGTCATCAACAGAACTATTTATTACGTTATAAAAAAACATTAAAATGGCCCGTTTTACAAATTGGTCTTTATTTTCATACCTTCAGGGTTTAGGTGTTCTTGAGATTGAATGAAGAGCAGTTGTTACAGAAATAAACTTCATCACTATCTGTAGTGATTAGTAGGTACTCAGCATTATCGTCTTTGATAAAATGACCGGTGTTAGTTTAAAACACCTTTTCATACATACAGGTTAAGCAGTTGCCTTCAAGTTAACTCCAACTCATGGCAACCCCAGTGTGTCACAATAGCACTGTGCTCCAGAGGGTTTTCAGTGGCTGGTCTGTCAGAAGTAGATAGATCACCAAGCCTTTCTTCCAAGGTGCCTCTGGTTGGACTCAAACTTCCAGCTTTTTGGTTAGCAGCCAAGTGCTTAACTGTTTATGCCAACTCAATTTTAAAATAGGTTAAATTGGTTTGAAACTCATTTAAACTCCACATAAATTTAGAATACACTTAATGCAAGACTTAAGCCGAGAAACGTCTTGCATCTTCTTTGAGATTTCAGAAGAGTTCCTACTTAGATAAATCTTTTCATTTTCCTGATTATCTTTAGAACTTTGTTATATAAATTGTCAAATCAGCATTTCAAATTTTTTTCCCTTCATCATTCACAGATAAATGGAACTATATACTATTTCCTAACTATGTATGAAAAAATAAACATACCAAAAGGTTTATACTTTTAGCATTTTTTTAATCTCCCAAACTTAGGGTAGTGCATTGGTATTTTCAGAATGGTACTAAAATTGGTTTAAATAATTCCAGTTTAAATAGTTACCAAAAAAAAAAAGTGCATTGAGGCCTTTATGAGAACTTTAATTGCAGTTACCTAGATAATGTAAAGTAGGTCATATTTTAAGGTTGCAATTTAGTGAAATCATTTTTGTGATGTGATGTATATGGTTGGTTTGCCTTTAGGGTGTCTATATATTACATTACTCTGTAATCACATTACTTTTTAAATTCTGTTTATTTTTTAAGTCTGTCTTCAGAGTACAACCAATGTGATTAATTATGCCTTTAACAAAATCATTCAATGTCTAAACAAACGCAATGTCTAAACACATCTTCAACTAAATTAGGAAAAGAGAAGGGAAAGAATTTCAAAACACAGACCAGGAAACAATCACAAAATAATATGTTTAACTACTACTTTTAAACTAAAAATAAACAAATACTCCAGTACGGTTGCTATTCTGAATTAAGGTAACAACTTTTCTAAGTAGAATTTATAAAACACCTACAGATACTTAGTAAAGGAGAAGGCTAGTTTCTTGGGAATGACATCCAGCATGATACAGTCACTTTAGGATGATACAGAAGCTGAACCTTTCTTACAATTAGATTTTAACAAATGGCTTTGCCACACTATTAGAAATGGGTGATACGTGAATGAGTTAAGTTTTGGAAGGTGAGAGAAGAAAATGTCTGATAAGCAATACTACAGAACTGAGGTTTACCTATTTTTTTAGAACCAAAAGTTAAAAAGCAAATTACCATATTGTAAGGTACAGAGAACGCTTGATATTAAGTATGTAAACATAACCATAACATTTGTAACTAATGGCACCCATGAAAGACTGGATCACACCTTAAACACCATATTGCTACTAGTGTCATAAAGGTAGAAATTTATTTCTAAAATACTGTCACACAGATGAATAATGTTAGTATAAATTCTTTATTTACATATAGGTCTGTCTCAGTTTGCTGGTGTGACCTAACCTTAGCATAGTAATGCCAAATGGTGAAGCAGAACGTAAGAACAGCTATGTAGGTATTAGGGAATTGTTCAATTCAATGCAAAATAAACCTTCACAGATTTTTTTTTTTAAGTCACTGAAACGATTTTAGGTAGTGTTCCTAGTAGTCTGCTAAAAGTGAACCATTAGTCACTAGTAATTGTTACCCTTAACTTACATTGAATGGAAACACCATTTATATAGATATATTTTAAGTAGTAGAAAACTGACATTCTAAATCATGCTGTTGGATTTTATAAAAATATCATAATAGACCCTCACCATTAAAAGCTGTAGAGGGGCTTTATGATAAATTCTTAAACATACTAATTTCTGTGATGTCTAGCAATTGAATAATTTAAAACTTGAAAGTAGAACTAAAATTTTGCTAGTAACTGTTCTGCTTTATAGTACACAATATATATGTATGTACACAGACTGAAATAAACTCCCTTCTCCATAAACAAGATTTCTAAACAAACAATTCACAAAGACTAGAATGTGACCAGACACTCAACTAGACTGACTAGGTGAAATCAAATTCCAGTCATTGTAATTCCAAAAGTTTTTCTAATATGCAAAAAACTAAAGTATTTGATGAAGTTTATTTAGACTTCGTTATTGAGGATTTTGTTATAAATTCTATATTCACTTAACATGAAAGAGGTCTTCCATGTGACTTTTTTAGGATCTATAAACCACAAAATAACATTTTCGGTCAGAGGTAATATGGAAGATTTTTTTGTGTGCCGAACATAAAGTTTTCAAATTGCTTAGTATTTGTTTACTGTTCAAGAATAAACCAATCATAGGCAAACTGCCTTTTTAATCCCCCAGTGGTCACACATGAATAACTAATCAATTTTGTAAACTCAGCAACTATATTCATACTACATCAAGAATTGTCAGTAAATTTTTTTAAAAAAAAAAGGCTTTTAAAAGAAAGTATTCTTACAGAGAACAATGAGAAATCCAAGTAAAAAAGGAAAATACCTAAGGGTGTTTGAACAGACTTTCTAATCTATTCCAAGAAATTAAAGATGGAATTTACTGAGGTATAACAGAATCTATCATTATAGCCTGAATTGTGATAGTAACACAATTCTTAGCATTTGCTGAGGGAAAGGCCAGAGTGCTTTAATTTTCACTGAGTGAAAATCTGGCATACCCTGATCAATAATTAAAGGAAACAGAGATAAGTTTTCAAAATTTTAGTTGAATAGGAGGGTTTGCTATTTTGACTGCCTTAAAGATTATTAACTAGGTATTTCTAAAATGTCAACTTCCAAAAATTAGTAACATGACATCACCTGACTGTAGACTGAATAAAGCCTCATCATCAATCCATCCATAGCACCTCCAATAATGACACAAAACCCTAGCATTTTTTCACATTAAGGACCAAGCTGTTTAAAACAATCTAAATGGGATCAAAGCATTCACCAACTTAAGCACAAAAACTTAATATACTTTCAGAGTAGGACTGTCTGGATATTCTCCTTGGAATCTAACCATTTTAAAAATGGCAACAAAAACTGAGAGTGGGTACATTGTGTGTGTGTGTGTGTGTGTGTGTTTTAATATTTCCCTAGGCAAGGGCCTTTGCTATGGCAACACAGTGTGCATAGTGCTTACAACCTGTCCTCACAGAACCAAACAGTGAGCAGGACCAAGGGACAACTGAAGCCTCCAACTTAATTTAAGCACTGGTAACTACAGCTCCCAGGGCAGCCGTACTCCTACCATCTCTACTATCTAGGCCTAAGATTGTGGGCAAAGTGCAAACCTACTCAAAAATGGATGCTAAGGGCATAACCTGGTAGGCAGGAAGATGACCTGACCAGTGAATCACCAGTTAAAATCACAAGTGAGACAGCTGGATAAAAGCAGGAGGATACAGATGATTTTAGAGATAGGGCAATGGGAGGATTAAGCAGCAGCTGTAGGAAAAGGGATCAGATCCCTTAAGTATAGATGTAAATTGCACAAGGACAAAGTAAAATCCTCAGTTCAATTTATTTATCTTTGTGACTGGGACTAGATAATCCAATTTAGAGCAAACCAGATCCTAAAATTTTATTAGTTGGGAAATTTACCTGATCACGTTAAAGTGCACTCTTTTAAGTGTATAAGTACCTGTGAATATGCAGAGACCAAAAATTTTTTAATTACTTCAAATTAATCCTTTTAAAATGAAATTTTAGATAATTATATTAATGCTTACATGCCAGAGTTCAGTCCCTAGCAGTACTGTTAATATCAGCTGAACTGGAAACAGTTTGTCTGTACCTTTCCAAACACTGAAGTCAGAGGAGGAAACTGCATCTGCAACTAAAATTAGAAGCCAAAATATCACCTTCATAAATCTTTGACCATAAATTTCTATATCTGTGCTCTCATTTACTTGAAGTTATAGTCATTCTAATTTACTGACAGTCGTTAGGCATGCCTCATTAAAAACTGTCATCAGTTTTGATATTTAACATAAAACTTCTAGAATACTCAGCAAGTTTACTATTAAAACCCTTAGTATAAAAGATTTCTGTGATCCTTACAAGTAATGGAAAGCCGACTTTCACAGGATTTTTCTAATTTATATATTTTTGAAATTAATGGTCAGATGTCCCTACCTGCTAAAGATGAAAATATAGTATGATCTGGCTTCCCAAAATTGAAATATGGTTAATAAAAATAAAATATTGTATTTACACAAAATAGCCTGAAAAATTAAAAAGAATGGCGAATCCTAGGTCCTAAGAGGGAGAGAAAAACTGCATCATATGTAAGTTCAAATTGAAATTTTAGAAATGTTCTCCCGTGCCCCATGCATTTATTAATATTTTAAAAACAACAATTATGTTACAAAGAGGAGGATTTATCATCTGCATTTCTTCTTTCAGGTTAGCTTGGCTTTCTTTTTAGCAGGTCCTTTATGCCCTTTGGCCTTTCTTCTTAAATTCCGCCTGTCTACAACAGGCACTTCCACTTCTATTTCCTCTGAGCTGCTATCCACAGCTTTCTCTGCTGAAGGTGTAAACTGGTCCAGTTGCTCAGAAGATGCTTCGGACTGCTCCTCTGACTGGTTCTTCTGTCCTGCATTCTGTGAAAACGGCACATCTTCAAGTTCAACCTCTATCAAAGAACTCTGAGGAAGAGCAGGAGATGTTTCCTGGGGCTCGGGGACCCCCTCCTCTCCCTGGTCTTCCAAAGACGAAGTAGTGTTGGGTGATAAATTTTCAGAGATCGATTCTTCAGAAAATTCAGTTACCACAGAGTTTGGAAAACCACTGTCAGATCGTTCTTCATTTGGGATAGTAGTAGCAGCATCTGAACTCCCAAAATGGGCTTGCTTTCTCGAAACTAGTGGCAGTTTCTCTTCAGTGTGCCCTTTTTCATCAGACGGGCTTTCTTCTGTGAACGGTTCTGAGTCAGTTATGTGTGGAGTCTGAAAATTAAAAACCTCGTCAACAAATAAGCTTTCGCAATCCAGTTAAAAAAATTATTCTTAGACATTAATGTGCAATAGAATGATACTGAACTTCAACTGAAAGAATTCAGTACTCACTACTTTTGTTAATGTACACAAATTTGTTCAAAATTATTGTTTCATGATAATTATGATATAGCTTTTGCTTTATAGATATAATATTTATTTTATCTAAAATAGCACTTTAAGGCTTTTCAACTTCCTATCAATTTTCTTCAAAACCATGAATCAACTCAAAGTTTTTAGGTTCTTGGGGTTATTGGAGCCAAGAACAAGAGTCCCTTGGGGCCTAACTCTATGCCACTCGCTTGGTCTCGCTGTGGTTTCACTAGAGGATAGGTAAGGGCAATGGAAATTTTATTCTCTTATTTATGTGAGGCACTAAGAAAATAATGCTATACAATTATTTCTTAGCTTTAATTGAAATACTCAAAAGTAATGAATTTATTTTAAAATACTCCATCAAGTATTTTTTCATTAATCTAATGTCTCCCTAATTAAAACAAGTTAAAATTATTGTATTAGTCATAGCCTATGTGAGCAATAGGTACTCAAATATTTGGTAAATATGCTTTATTTTCCTAACCATTTCCCTAAATCCACAAAATAAACCACTGTTAACATAATTACAAAGATTTGGATTTATGGAATGTTACTAATTGCATTTTCTTAAAATAGAAAATCTAGTATAAAAGTTAGTTTTCCTGAAGGACTGTACATGTTATGGTGAGATAAGAATACACACACACACAAATAACACATGTACTCATGCACACACCAAAGTCCACAAAATTGGAATATTTTACTTAAAAAAATTAGGTTATTTCCCCCTTACCTTATCCTGTGCAACAGCTTCAAGAGGCTTTGAAGATTCTACCACCAGTGGAACAAGAGTCATAGAGTCTTCATTGGAGCTGAAGGACTGCAATTTCAACTCTTCATCTAAAACATCAACAGCGGAATCCTCCTCTTCAGTTATAAGCGAGGTCTTAAGAGTATCCTCCATTATCTCCCCATTCATAGGCTCTAATTCAGATTCCTGAACCATCAAGTAAAAAAATCAAAACACAATTACATACCAACTTATTTGTCATGCAAGGTGGGTTTCTTCTCAGTGCCTACCCGTCACGCAGCAGCATGCAGGATGAATTCACATCATAGGCATGGGTAAGGAGTAGTCTTATGTCAGGAGAGAGGAGATTTATAAGGCAAGGTCAGCAAAAGAAAAGAACTCATGAGTACCTCATACTCCCAACTGCTCTCCTGAGACATGTGTTCTGTGGACACACAGTGTGTATCTGAGATTCAGTAGAGTGAAACTGCCTTCTATGCCTTCTTATAGGGCAACCATGGAGAACCTTCACAATCAGAAGGCACCAGAGACAGTCTAGATTTGGTGCCAGCTTTTTACAGACCATCACTCATCTAGTCCCGTCATCTTTGGGGCCTATAGGAAGTTGCAGTTTACCTTCCCAGACAAGGAGGCACTACCAGTCTCATAGAAAGTTAAGTTTAGAGCAGCTCCTCTTGTCGGGATAAGAGAGTCCCTGGTCTCGGTCTCAGCTAGTTCACTGTCCATGCAACCCAGGGTCATTTGTGAACAATCCTGCTCTTTGCATCACATTATGAAAACATGGAAATGCTACTTGATAATACTAACCCTCTAATCCCTGAAACTATTCTTCCAATGTTTATCAGTTTACAACACTTCTATTTAATAGCTAATATTTTTAATTATTTCTAATCATTAGAAGGCATGCATCAAGTATTCAGAAATATATTGGGCTGGGTTTTATAGGCCCACTAAAGGTGTAGTGCCTGAGGCACTTGACTGCTAACCAGAAGGCTGGTGGTTCAAATCCACCAGCCACTCCTCAGAAGGAAGACTGGGCAATTTACTTCCATAGTGATACTGCCTCAGGAACCCAAGGAGGGGTCACTATGAGTGGATCTGACTCAATGGCAGTGAGTTTGGTTTTTGGTTTTGTAAAGACACAGAAGGCAAGTTTCCCAAGAGAAATATTGAAATCAGAGAGTTAGAAAAATTAAATCTGCCCATGTATACAGACTAGGAGCTCTGGCAGCATAGTGCCTAAGGCATTTGACTGCTAACCAGAAGGCTGGCGGTTCAAACCCGCCAGCCACTCCTTGGAAGGAAGGTTGGGCAAACTACTTCCATAGTGATAGCTGCCTTGGAAACTCAAGGAGGGGTCGCTGTGAGTTGGATCCGACTTGATGGCAGTGAGTTTGGTTTTTGGTTTATATACAGACTAGGTTGCAAACAGAAGGTAAGTAAACTCATCAAAAGACCAACCAGGGTGGGAGAAAAGTTAAAAGGAAGAAAATGAGAAAGACAGAAAAAAGCTGAAGAATACATAGAACTGTGGTGAGTACAAAGTGAGAAGACTGGCAGTGAAAAAAGTCCCTCAAGTTTTAGGTTTGAGAACAGAATGAAAATAAGAAACAAGAAAACAGACTCAATCCAGGAATAATAAGACAAAATAGAGATTATGTTGACTTTAAGATGATAGAAGACATCTAAACAGAATTTTCAGTGTTGGCAGGTAACATTATGGGACTGAAAATCAAGAATTAATGGTTATCTACATAGAGATGTCAGTTGAAGCAATTACAATGGATGTATTTTCAAAAGACAGATCATGAACCAAGATCAGAAAGTCAAGAACTGTCTTCCAAAATGTCCACAATTAGGGAGAAGCAGGAAAGAGAACCACCTTCAGAGATACCCAAAACACAGTGGTGTTACGAAGCTAAAAGACTAGAAACTTTTGAAGAAGAAAAGGTAGCCAACCAAGGTAAGGAAGAGCCATTGGAATGAAATGGAAGTTGTCACTGATGATCTACAAAAGTATATTCTCAATATATTGCTGAATGAACAAAATAGGTTACATGACGATATGTATGCACAATATAATCTTAAAGAGAGAAAAAAACTACAAATACAAATTTCTATTTTAACAAAAATAACATCTCCTAAGTTTGTTTGCCAACCCTCCCACCCTCCTCCCTGAAGGTATTTTTGTAAATGTGCTATGCTATTCTTTTTTCTTTTTTTAACAACATGTGAAAAAAAAATAGGCATAGTGGTGCTTACCAAAATACATCCCATGGGAGGGAACAGTTGGCAAACAAATATAGAAGGTGAATGTCATTTGCATAAAAATATAATAAATCCTTTTTTTTATGTGTTTTATTTTCCTTTTTATACAAGAAGAAAAATGTCCTTAAAATATGTAATTTCAATCATTTGCCATTAGAAAGATATAGACCAAAAATACAAGAAGATACTGTCTCACCCCCTCAAAAATGACAGTGATCAAAAACAGAAGAAAACAAATGCTGGCAAGGTTATAGGGCAATTAGAACCTTGGTTCACTGCTGGTGGGACTGTACAACTACTATGGAAATTGTATGGTGCTTCCTCAAAAAGCTAGAAATAGAAATAGCTCATGACCCAGAAATTCTAATAGCACTGACATGAATAGACATAAGCACACCAATGTTCATCGCAGCATTATTCACAATAGCAAAAAGATGGAAACAACCTAAGTGCTTACCAATGAATGAAAAGATAAATTGTGGTATATACATACAGTGGAATACTACACTGCTATAAAGAATAATGATGATTCTCAAAACATAACATGCATGAATCTGGAGGACATTGCGCTGAGTGAAGTAAGTCAATCACAAGAGGACACATGTTGTATGATCTCACTTTTACGAAAAGAAAATAGGTATAAATGCAGAAAACAATGTTCTTTAGAGGTCATCAGGAATGGGAGGGGGAGGGAGGAAGAATCATTTTCTAGATAGTAGACATTTGTTATTTTTGGTGACAGGAAAGGCAATAATGAATGTTGTTGAAATTGCACAGCTTGTCCAAGGTAAAAAATGACACTAAAGTACAAAAGAATAAGGGACATTTTTGGTCAATGCTATAACAGAGGCAATTTTGCAACAACAGCAATATTAACCAAAAAATATATGTGTGGTTATATAGGTAAATAAGTATGCATATATGTTGATAGAAAGGTATATATGTGTACATACATGTACATGTATAGGTGTATCTATAGGCATAGCTATATAGATGTTTGTGCTGCATATATATTCATACATACAATAAAGCACATAGGTGCACAGTTACAAATATTTCCTAGATACAACCAAAAATCTTGTGGGATTGGCTTACTGGGCTTGAAGGCTTAAGACCATAGCCTCATGAGATAACTCAGTCAACTGGCATAACATAGTTCATAAAGATTATGTTCTACATCCCAATCTGTTGAGTAGCATCTGGGGTCTTTAAAGCTTGCAAGAGGCCTTCTAAGACATAAGTACTGTTCTTTATTCATCTGGAGCAAAAGGGAAAGAAAGAAACCAAAGACTCAAAGAAGAAACTACTCTATAGGACTAATAGCCAACATGAACCATGGACTCATATATCCTGAGACCAGAACTAGATGGTGTCTGGCTACCACTACTGACCATTCTGACCACAGACACAATAGAAGGTCGTAGATAGAATGGGAGAAAAATGTAGAATAAAACTCAAATTCTTAAGAAAGACCAGGCTTATCAGACTAGTAGAGACCAAAAGAACCCCAGAGACTGTTATCCTGAGACACTCTTTAAATATCGAACAGAAACCACTCCTGAAAATCACCTTTATGTTAAATAACAGATTAGCTCATAAAGTATCACCTGTGAGTACTGTGGTTATATATATATATATACAGAAGAACATGACAGAGAAAATCTTTCCATTTAATTCAAGTGTTGTTGTTGTTATGTGCTGTCGAGTCGGCCCCGACTCATAGAGACCCCTCCTTGGATTTCCGAGGCAGTATCACTACGGAAGTAGATTGCCCCATCTTCCTTCCGAGGACTGGCTGGTGGGTTTGAACCACCAGCCTTCTGGTTAGCAGCCAAGTGCTTTAGGTACTATGCTACCAGAGCTGCCATGTGTGGCTTTTAAATCATGGAAAAGCCTTCCAGCCTTTTTGTGACTACAGTAAGGCTAAATAAGAACCATATGCACCTGTTCTCACTTACCTACAAATTCTTGAAGAAGCAGTTAGGAACTGATCTCATTGGTAACCAAGGACTGCCTGATAGCAAATCACTGGCCTTTTCAAGATCCTTCTTGTGTACAATTCAGCAACATTAGTTATTATCATCATACTTTTTAACCATTAACTTTATGTTTCCGAATTCTCCCATCACCCTTAACAGAAGCTTAGTGTCCCCTAAGCAGTGAGTGCCCCCTTTCCTGTTCCTCTCTCCCTCCTACCTCAAAAACCAAAAACAAACTCACTGCCATCAAGTCAATTCTGACTCACCATGACTCCAATTGGGTTTTCAAGGCTGTAAATCTGCAGAAGTTGATTGCCTCATCTATCTTCCACAGAGAAGCTGGTGGTTTAAACCACCAATCTTTTGGTTAGGAGCCTTGACCATTACCCCACAACAGTTCTTTCCCTCCCACCCCAAGTAACCACTAATAAACTCTAGTCTCTATACACTTGCCTATCCTGTTGTTGTTGTTAGGTGCCACTGAGTCGTCTCCAACTCACAGCGACCTTATGTACAACAGAGAAACACTGCCTGGTTCTGTGCCAGCCTCACAAGCCTTGCTATATATGAGCCCATTGTTGCAGCCACTGTGTCAATCCATCTCATTGAGGGCCTTCCCCTTTTTTGTTGACCCTCCACTTTACCAAACATGATATACTTCTCCAGAGAATGGTTCCTTCTGACAACATGACCAAAGTAGGCGAGATGAAGTCTGGCCATTCGTGCTTTCAAGGAGCATTCCAGCTGCACTTCTTCTAGGACAGATTTGTTAGTTCTTTTGGCAGTCCATGGTACTTTCAGTGTTCTTTGCCAACACCACAACTCAAAAGCATCAACTCTTGGTCAGCCTTCCTTATTCATTGTCCAGCTCTCACATGCATAAGAGGCGAATGAAAATACCATGGCTTGGGTGGTTGTTGTTGTTATGTGCCATTGAGTCGGACCCAACTCATAGAGACCCCTCCTTGGGTTTCCAAGGCAGTATCACTACGGAAGTAGATTGCCCTATCTTCCTTCCGAGGAGTGGCTGGTGGGTTTGAACCGCCAGCCTTCTGGTTAGCAGTCAAGTGCCTTAGGCACTATGCTACCAGAGCTCCCTGGCTTGGGTTAGGCACTCCTTAGTTTTCAAGGAGACATCTTTGCTCTTCAGTACCTGAAGAGGTCTTTTGCTGCAGATTTGCTCAATGCAATACAACTTCTGATGTCTTGACTGCTGCTTGTTTGGTGTTGCTTTTAGAACCAAATAATATGAAGCCTTTGACAACTTCAATCTTTTCTCCATTCATTGTGATGCTGCTTATCGGTCCAATTGTGAGGATTTTTGGTTTTATATTGAGGTGTAATCTATACTGCAGACTGCAGTCTTCAATCTTCATTAGTAAGTGCTTCAAGTCATCATAATTGTCACCAAGCAAAGTCGTGTCCTCTGAGTATCTCAGGTTGTTAATGAGCCTTCCTCCAATCTTGATGCCACGTTCTTCTTCATACAGTCCAGCTTCTTGGATTATTTGTTCAGGATACAGATTGAATAAGTATGGTGAAAGGATACAACCCTGACACACTCCCTTCCAGATTCAAACCATGCAGTACCTCCTTGTTCTGTTTGAACAACAGCCTTCTGGTCTATGTACAGGTTCCTCATGAGTACAACTAAGTGCTCTGGAATTCGTATTCTTCTCAATGATATCCATAATTTGTTATGATCCACACAATCAAATGCTTTTGCATAGTCAACAAAACACAAGTAAACATCTTTCTGGTATTCTTTGCTTTCAGCCAAGATCCATCTGACATCAGCTATGATATCCCTTGTTTCATGTCCTCTTCTGAATCTAGTTTGCACCTCTGGAAGTTCTCTGTCAATATACTGCTATAACCATTTTTTAATTATCTTCAGTAAGATTTTACTTGCATGCAACGTTAATGATATTGTTCGATAATTTCCACATTCTGTGGGATCACCTTTCTTTGGAACAGGTACAAATACGGCATAGACGAGTGAGCACTTCCAGTATGGCATCGTTTGTTGAAACATCTCAATGGGTGTTCTATCAATTCCTGGAGCCTTGTTTTTCCTCAGTTCCTTCAATGCAGCTTTGACTTCTTCCTTCAATAGCATTGGTTCTTGATCATGTGCCACCTCCTGAAATGGATAAACATCGACCAATTCTTCTTGGTACAGTGACTCAGTGTATTCCTTCCATCTTCTTTTGATGCTTCCTGCATCATTCAATATTTTGCCCATAGAATCTTTCAATACTGCAACTTGAGGCTTGAATTATTTCTTCAGTTCTTTCAGTTTGAGAAATGCTGAGTGTGTTCTTCCCTTTTGGTTTTCTAACTCCAGGTCTTTGCACATTTCATTATAGTAATTGGCTTTGTCACACACGATGTATTAACTGCTTACCTCTCTTCAGTAATCAGATATTGACAGTAGTGTACCACTTTCCAGTAAAAGAAACCAGCACTTCAGGAA